GGGACCTTAAGTCAAGCGACTTAACACTTTGGTGCCTCTGATTCCTCACTTGTAAAGTAGGGATAATCATAGTGCCTAGCTAACAAGGTAGCTCTGTGGATTACATGGGTCATCATGTAAATGACGTGCTTAAAACAGTGGCCAGCAAAAGTTGTTACATTTTGGCAATTTTTTTTAATACTGTAAGTTCTCGGGTACATGTGTAGAATGTGCAGGTTTGTTACATAGGTATGCATGTGCCATGGTGGTTTGCTGCATCCATCACCCCGTCATCTACATTAGGTATTTCTCCTAATGCTATCCCTCCCCTAGCCCCTCAACCCCCCAACAGGCCCTGGCAAATCTACATGCAAGTTTGTATTTTATTTTTTGAAAGTATATGATACCACCTTGCAGTTCGAGTTGGGCTTTAGCTAGCTGCCAAGCTCTTCCCATCCTTGCATTTTCTGCATCTGCCTCACATTTGCACAGCCCAGGTCAGAGTGTGCCCCAAGCAACCCTCTTTCTTGGAGCAGGGGGTCGGGGAAGGGAGAGATGGATTCCCAAATCTCTGTCTTAACTGCCCGCCAGTTTGGGGCTCGTGGCCACATTAAGTGCTCTTACTCAATTCATGTGACTTGACAAATTTGGAATGTGTTAGGGAAAGGGAGTTTTTCCAGCTATGAGTCAGTACATTTATGCACTCACACACACTCACACATTTTTTTCTTAAAAAAAAGTTTAGCGAGAATCACTTATGAGTATAAAATGGAAACCTCTGGAAATTTTATTTGGACCCTAATGCCAAGTAATATTTAAGACATTTAATAAAGGGTTTGAAACAAGATACAGTTGGAAGAAAACACAGCTAGCTGCCTTCTCCTTCTGTATTCTCCGCTACCATGTTGTACACAGGAAGATCCAAATTACATGAGTTTAATCTCATTCCTCTTGAATACTCAGATTTTTGCTAAACATGATCAGGAAATAAGAGATGTGTAAAAGCAGGGATGCCAAACCGGTATCTGTTAAGCACCTAGATGTACCAGAGAGCCATGGGTGGGGATCATATCCCAAGTTCAAGAGGCAGTATAGGGGGAAATGAAACAATTTGATTCAGACAGGCTTGGGTTCAAACCCTAGCACCTCATTTCATAATATTATCTAGTCTCCATCATATTCCATTTTATGGATGACAAAACTGAGGCTCAGAGAAGATCAACTATTTTGTTTCTGGACACAAAGCTCTTATGTGGTAGAAACTGCATTCTAAACTGAGTCTGTCAGTCTCTAGCCAAGAATACACTGTCTCCCTATGCTAAAGAAAGTGGTTTCAAATTATTGTTTCTCAGAGTGGAGTTTCCATACCAGGGAGGGAGGCAGACACACCCATTGTCAAAGATGATGTCTGTAGATCCTAACCAGGCACCGCTTCTGGGAGACCAGTGTCTTCAGCCACTTTCCAAGCCTTGCCTCTGCATCCTGCCTGTTAGGGATTAGGAAGAGCCTGGTTCCCCCAGGTTGATCTTCTCCTTACTGTTGTTTATTTTAAAGAAAGAAACCACCACCCACCCAGAGGGCTTCTGTTTTCTGGTTCACTCATATCTCTTTTGTGAGAGCTCACTTTCACAGACTCCCAATCTTGAGGGAGCTGTGTCTTTTTCTCAGAAACAGGAGCCATAATCAAAGGTGCATTCATATCTGTCAGCAGCCGTGTTGGAGCCAGAGTTACCCGAGGCAGGGCAGAAGGAGGCGCAGGCCAGGTACCAGGGAGAATTTTTCCCTAAACAAATCAGATCACCCTATGGTTTCCTCTTCTAAAGATCGTGGGGTACCTGGTGGTGCTTCTCAGATTGCTGGGGGATCTGAAAGGGGCCTGGGGGTGAACAGGACACATCCTTCCATCTTACAAATACTTTTGAGGGTCACCATATTCTGGGAACCGCAGACACAATCCAGTTCTTCAGTGGCTTCCCATCACGCACAGGTGAAGACAGAACTTCTTGAAAGGATTCCAGTCCTTGGGGCGATCTGGCTCTGCTATTTCTCTGGCCTTCTCGGCTTCAGCCACTCTGGCAGCTGCCAGTCTCTGGGGTCCACCGTGTCCCACCCGCCACGGCCCACACATGGCCTCCACCACTCGTTCAGCCTTTCTTCCTCTCCCTGCCTGGTTTGTGCTGCTTGTCCTCCAGGTCTCGCTGCAATCTGCTGTATCCTCCTGTGCCTCTCCGTGCAATCCTGCCACACTGCACAGTGCTTCAGTGAGCACAATAGTGTCATTGAAGCCTTTATCTCCAGCTCAACTCTAAGGCCAGGGCTCACCTAATCTCCCCATGGCCTGGCCCCTAGTCAAAGTCCCATAAAGAGTTGTTGAAAGAATGAAGAGACATCAGTGAGCAAAATAGACGCTGCCCTTAGCAAGTGACACAGTCGCAAATGGAAAAAACAAAACAAAACAAAAAAAACAGATCCTGGCCTTCCCAATGCTGGACACGTACATCTTCCTAGAGTGTCAGTTGTCAAATTGTACTTGACAACTTTGAGGGAGAAATATTTTGAAACAAATACGGGTCAATTCTAGAGTTGAATTCCACATCCTCGTCAATGTCCAAGATGTCAAGCTGCGTCTACACACCCCAGGGCAGTTGGGAAACACAGGCTCTTCTGTCCTCTTAGGGAATCTCGGTTAAGTTAGGCTGTGGCTGTTGGGCGAGATGGCCCAGTTTTCTACAACTCCAGTTACGCGGCCATAGTTGAAGAGGCATTGTGGGGAAGAAAAATGGAAAGATGGCCCAGTCAGGCCTGAGTTCCAGCCTCCGTGTTGAACTTTCTACTCTTACCACTCTGGGCAACTTTTTTAATATCGCAGGTTCAGGGTTTACCATCTATAGAATGGGTATGTAAATGCCTGCAGTTGCTGCTGCTATGGAAAAGGAAGATAAGGCTCGGGAGCCAGCCCCGAGCTTCCTAGCACAGAGTATGTGCGACGGACGTGGTGGCCATCATGTAAGCGATTTTGCAGATTTGCAAATGACCACTGTGTTTTTTTTTTTTTTTTTCCATATGAACAGCATTTTCTGCCCTTCTGAATTAAAGGCTATTGTTCGGGACCCAAGTGAAATATTGCCTGGAACAAAGACAGATCACTGAAGACTGCACTTCCGGCTTGCAGAGGGAGGGCTGAGCTCAGACTCCACGGAAGTCACTTGGAGCTTTCCACCGTTTTTGAGCTTGACCTTGCTCTTATTTCTGGGCTGGGCTGGCTCCAGCCAGAGCTGGTTTCTCCCTCCCGCCTGCTCCCTGGCTGCACTCACACCTTTCCCTCAGTTTGAGGCCATCACCTTAGGACATCTCTGCGTTTTTACTAGACCTGGAGCTTCTTACTCATCTGCTAAATGTTTGCTGAATGAGAAGTGGAATGGGATCAACTTCTTAAGAGGGAGTGACCCTCAGGGAGGGCACTTCTCTTCTACAGGCCATTAAAGTCGCTTCCCTGATTCTCCTGGCAATCCGACAGGCTTAAACTAGGCCAAAAGGGAATATGTGGGGACTCATGAGGAGAATGCTACTGGCTTATTTTTCCTTCTTGTGATTTTCTCCATCTGACCAGTAATTTCTGGCAAAAGGAGTCCTGAACCAGGAAGGTTGGAAATGTGTATGCATTTGGATCTCAGAGGGCACCAAAAGCCCTATAATTCAGGCTAACTCTGCTGCCCTCCATCCACGTGCAGGGACAGTGGGCTCCACTCAGCATGCACTGTGGCCTTGGATTCCCCTCCACAACCCAAGGAGGCAGCTCTGGTTAGAGCCCGGCCTGGCTGAGGAGGAAACCCAGGTCCAGGAAGGAAAGTGATTGGCATAAGGACACAGAACACATATGTGTGAGAGGCGGGACCAGACTCAGCCCTGCTGTCTCCAAGACCAATGCTCTTTCCACCACGCTCATTAGGATCTAGTGGGGTCTAGCGGGGTGATGGTGCAGCACTGGGTTTAAGGAGAAATGGAGAAAACAGAGCTGATTCAGTGAGAGTCCCTAGCTCTGAGAATAAGTCACTGTGCAGCCCAGCCAAGTCGCTCTGCCCCTGTGTATTCCAGTTGCTGCCTAGTCAGTTGAGGATAATAACAGGTATGGTCAATTACAAGAACAGCTAACACCTGCTCACGCTGCTCTAAGCACTTTATATGTATCACCTCCCTCAATCCTGCAGGGGAAGGTGGTGTTAATTAGGGGAAGAGCGAGGGCAGATCATTTGAGAGGAACTAGCATGACTAGCTATGTGGCTGTGGAGCATGATGGGTTCAAGAAAGAAGAAGCCAGTGAGCCAGGAACATGGTGTGGGGAGGGGGATGGGGAGAGGTGAGAGGCAGCAGCCTCACAGGGCTGCAGAGGCCATGGGGTGGGGAGCATGACCTTTGCCCTGACCCAGGTGAGGAGTCTGTTAGCTGCCCCTGTCTTGCACCCCCTCTTTATACATTGTACCTTCTCCCACTCAGTCTATTATTTGTCTTTCTCCTTTTTTATGCCATGAATTTCTTAAGGGTAGGAACCAGGTTTTATTTATGTCTATCTGGTACTTAGCAAATAATCAGATATACATGGGTACCCAATGAATGATTGTCAATTAGATATTTAATATACTCAATATTTAATAGTAACGTGTTCAATGTTTAATAACTATATATATATATAATACATGTAAGTTCTGTATTGACATTTGTACTGTATCAGTCTGTTTTCACAGTGTTGTAATGAGCTGCCTGAGACTAGGTAATTTATAAAGGAAAAAGGTTTAATTGACTCACAGTTCAGCATGGCTGGGGAGGCCTCAGGAAATTTACAGTTATGGTGAAAGGGGAAGCAAGGCACCTTCTTCACAAGGCAGCAGGAAGGAGAAGTGTGAGCAAAGGGGGAAGAGCTACTTATAAAACCATCGGATCTCATGAAAACTCACTATCATGAGAACAGCATGGGGAAAACCACCCCCATGATTCAATTACCACCACCTGGTCTCTTCCTTGACACGTGGGGATTGTGGAGATTACAATTCAAGATGAGATTTGGGTGCGGACAGAAAGCCTAACCATATCAGTACCTATAATGCAACTTCCATTATGCAAGCATTTCTGCTATTAAATGATATATGCATTTCCATAAATCCTGGCATTCTGAAAAATTCAAAAATCGCAGAGATTTGGGAGACAATAAGGTTGCAGCACACGAGTCACAATTCATGCAACTCTGTAACAAACCGCAGTCCTAGTGATGATTATAGCACAGTTAAAATGGCATGCTAAATTTTGAATTAAAAATACATTAGTAACTTGAGGACCTGAGTAACCATAGGGCTGTGTTTTACAAACAAAAAGGGGGAACTCAAAGGCAGGTAGCTAGAGAAGGCTTGAGGCTGCTGAGTTACGGAGGCAGGAGCAGACAGATCTTCATCGGAAGTTGCAGGTACAAGAGGAGTTGCAGGCTTTGCTAAAATGTAGCAGAAAGGAGTGGTCTAACATGGCCTTTGCACAAATATCAGGGAGAAGTGAGCACCAAACTCTTCTAAGACAGCACGTGGCCTTGCTGAGCCAAGAGGAAGAGCATGGAGTCATCTATGGCTTACTACACTCAGCTGTGTCTGGGATCTTTGCATCCAGCTGTTGTTACTTGGTGATGACAAAACATTAATGCACTGGAAACATTTGCCTGAGAGCCAATACTACTTCCACATTTTATGGACATCATTCCACTGTATACCTTAACTTAGCTGAACTATCTTATGGAAGTAAGCACAGTAGAACGAATGACATCTAATGTAACATATGCTCATTGGTAAGAATGCCAGCTGTCTAATTTACATTGAGAAAAGTACTGGCCATGCACCCTGCATGAGTTGTGGACTGTTTTCCTCTTGGTCTGAGAGTCTATTTAGTACACTCACCTTACAAGCAGTGTGTGGAGCAAGAGCATATGGAGTTGGGAGATGCTATTCTAGAATATCATAAATCTGTGCTGTGATGTTCCCTCCTCATCAGGAGCAGCCGGACTACACTGATTGTACCTCTGCGCTTGGAGTCAGAGGATAGTCACCCCAGCCTGTGTGATAACTGTGTGACCTCAGGGAAGTCAGTTAACCTCTCTGTTTTCCCAACTGCAAAATAGGGCTGGTGACATGCACCTTAAAAGTAAGGAGCCGATTAGCTGGTGGATAAAAAGCACTTTCTAAGCTACGAAGGGCTTTGGAGAATGTTGTTCTTCTCACAGGTCAGCGCCTGGAATGCTCAGGTTAGCTTGTCTCCTGGGGTGTCTCCTCCCGCTGGATGGTTAGTTCTAAAGGGCAGTGGGCAAGAGCACTCAACTTCTTGGAATCAAAATAAATTAATCACTGAGATAAACTGCAGAAGCTCAAATTCCCCTGCAGGAAGGAGGTCCAGAATTTTTAACTGGGGAATTTTGCTGGCCCTTTACAAAACTGAAGAGGAGGGGAAGCCTGTGGCCAGTATTCAGGGCCTCCCTCCCTGAGTGCTCTGCCCGATACCCGGGACCATCACTCACCTCCAGGACTCTAGTCACCCACCACCCGTGGCGGGAACCCCTCCCTCAGCCACTCCCGCAAAGCCAGGTCTGTCTGCTCCTTCCCCCAAATGATAGGAAAGGAACACAGGCTTTGGAACCACATGAACATGGCTTTGGGTCAGCCCGACCACTCACCAGCTCCACATCCACGGTGGCCAAGTTGTCACTCTTGGAGCCGGTTTCCCCATGTGGAGAATGGGCTGCAACTTCCTTCCATCCTTGATTAAGAGGATGAGACACCTGCGCTTTGCAGACTTTAACCAGCCCAGGAGTCACCTGGAGGTCTTGTTAAAATGCAGGCTGCTCCCATACCGTAGGGCTTGGTGGGGCCGGGGACTCTGCCTATTCAGCAAGCTCCCAGCTGGTGCGATTGCACCCTGAATAGCAAGACCCCAGCTCAGGCGTATGAGGTGCCCGGCGCGTGGTAAGTACTCAGTCAATAGAATCTGCCACCTGAAGGTTTTCTTTCCCCCAGCCAAAAGGTTCTCCTTTGAAAACAGGAATGGATGAAAAGAGAAAGCTCTGCTCACCGCAGAATTCTTAGGGAAACAAGAAAAAACAAGTTTGGCTTTCAAGGCAGGCTGGGTGTGGGGAGTGAGAACGGTGTGCCCCCTCCATGGCAGCTCCCCAGTTCGGTGGCTACTCCATGCACATGTGCGCTGCAGGTGGCCTCTGCCCTGCTTGGTTAAACCTCTAGGGCTCAGGCCCCAACTTGCCATGCCGCGAACACATCCTCAGAGCCGGGCACGGGCCTTTTTCTTCCAGTTACAGCTCTTCCCAAGGAATTTTCAAAGCACACGGGGTTCGCTTGGCAGGAGTCTCCCAGGATATAAATACGCTTTGGGGGCTTTTGTTTTAAGCACTGCGGTCTCTCTTCGACTTGAGGCCTGAGCACAGAGCTTTCCCCCTTCGCCCTCACCAAAATGCAACCATGAAGGGCCGCTGCCAGGAGGACTCCAGGAGACTCTGAGTGAGGTTAAAGAGAGGCCTCCCGCACCCCTACCCCCGCTGATTTTGCCTTTAATTTTGCTTTTCTGGAAAGCCTGCTTCTCCACAAGCTGCTGACTCATCCAGGGCTAGGGTCTTTTTTTTTTTTTTTTCTTTCTCAGAATCGCCACAAAGCCCAGAGATTTTGAGGTTGGTTTAATGAGCGGCTCAGTCCTCACCATTTCCTTTTCATTCATCTTCCCCACCTCCATCCCAGTCCTCCATTGACTCTGTCCTGCTGGAATAGAGATGGACACCCAATTGCTCTGCCCTGCTTCTGATATTGAGTTTCTATCCTCTGTAGGTCTGGATGCACCGACTGCTCTTGGAGTAAAAAGATTCCCAGGATGTGAGCCACACGGGACTGGTGAGTACTGTCGCATTTGGCAGTGGTGGGGCCTCAGCTGGGTCTCAACAAGTGAAAGGAGAGGGGTGGGAGGGGCAGGGGCAGCTGAGCTCTGGCAGCTCTGAAACTGTATTTCCATGCACATGTACCTAGAAACAGTATAGGGTGGAGAATCTGATGTGAGTCCCTTGGAATCCACTGGGCTCCTGCCAATCCCTCCCCGGGAGCACGAGCCTCAGGTAGCGGGGCTGCCCTCCCTCTGCTCTGATGATGGCAGCTCAAACTCCCCATCCAGAGGGCATGTGCTCAGGAGTGTTTCCAGCAAACCTCTAGCAAGGGCTAGGGAGATATTCTTAAGACAGAGAGGGAGCTACCTGGCTCACACCAGTTGGGAAACCATGGCCCTGAGGAGACAGACAGAAAAGCCACCTTTGCACATTTAAAGGACTGTCACAGGCAGGACAGAGGTGGAAAGCTGTTGACTCCACCTAAGGAAACATTCCTAACAGAAGAGCTATGCAAGAGTGTCGTAGGCAACTTGGGGAGCAGAGTGAGTTCCCTGTCGCTGGCAGAATTCAAGCAGAGATTGGAGAAATATCTGTGGGACATTTCAAAGGGGAGAGTGCAATGTTTTACAGACCCTGTTCCCTGGTGATCTAGAATGCTGTGAGGCACAGGCAGTAGGAGGAGGGAGAGGGTGGAGGGAAAGTCTGAAAGAGGGAAGCTTTTGAACTCAAGCCTGCAAACGCTCAGCACTGCCTCTGTTAGGTGCAGACTCTGCTATAAAATGGTTTGGCAGCCACCAGATGAGATGACCCTCAGGTGTCTCCTACGACTGTTGCCCATTGACTGGCTGTACCTGAAATAATGCCAGACAATGCACACATCATAGGCATGAGCCCAAACACCTGCTGTATGTGGCCGGGGGACAACTCCCAAAGCATGATGGGAGTTCTGCTCAGAGGCTCTGGGGAGCCTCTCCCGTGCCAGGACCACCAGAAGAGCTTCTGACTAGTCATCCCATCAAAGGCCTCGGCCCAAGATCCAGACCACATAGACAAGAGGAAAAGGCACAGGGGAACAGGTGCCAAGACTCACCCACCTCCCACTCCCCGGGGCCCCAGAGAAGGCAAAAGCAGGTGTGGTTCAGGCAGATGGCTTGGCTTCACCAGGAATCGTGGGCCTTTAGGCAGGGGCAGTACCACATACTCCAGTGGACAAAACCTGGCCCACTGAGCGTGAGAAAAATTGCACTCCAGACGCAAATGGGGAAGTTACGCAGGAGGGACACCCATTGCGCTTGGGAGGGTCTGAATAATGAGCACACGGATTCCTTTGTGCTTTGTAACTGGGTCTTCTTCCCCTGGGGTCTGGGTCAGCTGCAACAGTAAATATTTACCAAGGGCCCCTGAGGGCAGGGCTCTGCGGGAGGCCAGAGATGGTGTTTTTCTTTAAGAAACTGACAAGCTGGATGAGAATCGAGTTTGACAGTGGTTGTGCACAGGCTGTATATTCAGCTGAGCCCTGCTAGCTGTCGGCGGGGGCAGGGAAAGAAGGGAGAGGGGAGGGCTGAACTGTGACTTGGCATGTTTTTGGCAAGTCTTTAAGCAGGAGTTGAACTTTGAGGACAGGTGTTGTGTGCTTGTATTCACAGAACCTGGCATGTAGTAGGTGCTCAGTGAATCATTGTCAAATATAGTGATGAGGAGGCAGCCCAGGGAGGCGATGCCTGTGGTTCAGAGGGACCCTGGCGTCAGAATGCCAGTTTCCCGTCCCAGCTCCTCCACTAGCTGTGGGGCCTCATGCTTCAGTCTCCTTCCAAGATGGGGATAGTGGTAGTTCCTACCTCATAGAGTGGTTGGGAGGATTCAATGAGTTAATTCACATGAAGCTGCCAGTCCCTCATGCCAGGACATAGTAAGTGCTCAATAAACATTAGTCCTTATTCTAGATGTAGGACACGAACCCAGCTTAAGGCTCAATGACAGGACAGGAAAAAGCAGTGTAGGTTGGAAGACAGAGCACTGGACTCTGAGTCAGAAACCCTGGCATAGCTGCAGGGCAGGGACGAGGAAACAATCCCTCCTGGTGAGTGCATTCTCTAAGCTGGAGATGCTGTGGAAGGCTGTCAGGGTGGCACTGATTTTCCTCCTGGCTCCCTCTGGTCCCTCCTGGTTGAAAGCAGAGGTGGCTCTGCTATTTATTCCTAGCTGTGGGCTTCCTGGAGAGTGGAGTGACCTCACAGAACACCCCTTTTTCCCAGTGAATGGGAACATCCTTACCATCCTTCTTCCCTCCGGGAAGTAGTGGTGAAGACTGAAAAACACCAGCACAAAAGAAAGATTCTGTTGATACAGATGGAGAATCATTTAAGACCCCAGCTTGGATAGTGTGGTCTCCAGCCTTCCCCAGTGAGGTCTGGCTGTCTCCATGGCTGGAAGACAAATAGCGTATCGCCGGATTCCCACAGTGATGATTCACTCTGCAAAAGGCACTCCCCACCACCCCAGGATTTGGAGCATGTTTCAGATAAAAATTGCATTCGCCCGAAACACTTGTCAGGGTTACATTTCTTACATTGGTGGTAGACTTGGAGCTATGGAATGAGCTTGCTTAGGGGCTTGCCTTTTGGCTCCCTTGCCCCATCTCACCCAGACCCTAGCTGGATAGCAGGATTGTAATGTAAGCCAAATTGTATATGACACAAGGACAGCCCCTATGCCTAGGGGATCTGAAACTATTCTAGTTTCCTTTTCCCATCACCCCCGCCCCGACATCTGTCAGGTGGCCACAGCCTCAATTTCAACTTGGGTAGGAAGGGGGATGGCATGAGGAATGAATTGGTCATGGCTGCCAGGGGCATCGTGCAGAGATGGGTGCTGAGGCATATCCAGGAAAGAGTATTCTGCTTTGGATTACTGATGTCTGCTGAGGAGGCAAGAACTATAGCATTCCTGCCACTTTTGGGCATCCCTAGACAAAACAATTTATTATTTTTTTTTAATTTGTATCGCTCTGCCACCCAAGCTAGAGTGCGGTGGCACCATCTTAGCTCACTGCAACCTCCACCTCCTGGGCTTAAACAATTATCCTGCCTCAGCCTCCCAAGTAGCTGGGATTACAGGCACACACCACCACAGTGGCTATTTTTTATTTTTTTATTTTTATTTTTTTGTATTTTTAGTAGAGATGGCGTTTCACCACGTTGGCCAAGCTGGTCTCGAACCCCTGACCTCAAGTGATCCACCCACCTCAGCCTTCCAAGGGCTGGGATTACAGGCATGAGCCCACTGCACCCAACCCTTAGACAAAACGATTTCTAAGTCTACCTTCCTGCATCATACTTTGTGGTCTTATATTAGCAACCTTGTTGTAAAACAGAGGGACAAGGCATAGCCAGACCTCATTAATCTGGACCACATTAGGAACAACCCAGGTGAGTGAAAAGTCTTCATCCCAGGGTGTTGCTGCATGCAGGTGGGCTTTCTTACCTTTCAGTCCACAGACAACTCAGCCCAGCCCGGCTAACTGGTGCTAATGCAGGAGCCACAGGACCCGTGCTTAGCAGGTCTGACCACGTGGCTGAATGCACCTGACCTATACTTTTATGCCACTTACTCTTTTTGCATGCTTAAGAATAAATATCACTGAAACTCTAACAAAAGCAGTGTGTTTTTTGAAGTAGAAAATCATTCAATGGGCAGCTTTGCTGCTATTTAAAATTGCCAAGGAATTTGAATTAGAGAGACTTTGTACTAGCTGGGAATAAGCTGTTTTTTCCAGAGTTATATGCAGAAGATGAAACAAAATAGTCCAGAATTAGGGTTCCTCTGAGTTTCCTGATCTGTAAAATGGGGAAATAATGCATCTCGCTGGGTTATTTGGGAGAGTAAATGAAATAAAATGTGAAAGAGACGTAGCATACAACCTTGCTTACAAAAGATGGTCAAGAAATGCTATATCTTTTCCCCCGTACCACCTCCCATCTATATTCACACTGAAAGCATAGCTTTTTTCTTGCAATATGTTCAAGAAATGATGTTACAGATAGATTTTTTAAAATAGCATCATACTTTTCAAATGACTCCTGTTGGCTTTTCAGAGGCTCTTCCTTTTTAGTGCTGATGATTCTTCAATGAGCAATGTCTGCTTAAATCTTCAGCCTGAGTTCCTCTGCTCTGGTCTTCTGGGTGGAATAGCTCCAAGGGTCCTGCCACGCATGTGGACGAATGTCTTTGTAACATGATTGAGACTGTTAGTGGGTTTCTTTAGTAGAGACTGAGCCATACGGTGATTCGGCCATTCCACATCTTTCCTTCAACATGGCAAGTGTCCACACCTGAATTCCATTCCCATTGTCGGGAGAGTCAGGACAAGAAAGCTGATCTAACGCCAAATTGACACCATCCATGTGTCAGAAGGATGGGCTTTACTTGTTAATAACAGGTAAGAAGTTTGCATTGAAAATCTTTTTTCATCCTTAGTCTCTGAGACTCTTCAGGAGAAAGATTAAGTTTCCGCCCAAAAAAAAATCAGTCGGGTGCAGTGGCCCATGACTGTAATCCCAGTACTTTGGGAGGCTGAGGCAAGTGGATCACGAAGTCAGGAGATTGAGACCAGCCTGGCCAACACGGTGAAACCCCATCTGTACTAAAGATACAAAAAATTAGCCGGGGTTGGTGGCACGCGCTTGTAATCCCAGCTACTTGGGAGGCTGAGGCAGGAGAATCGCTTGAACCTGGGAGGCAGAGGTTGCAGTGAGCTGAGATCATGCCATTGCACTCCAGCCTGGGCAACAGGACAAGACTCCATCTCCAAAAAAAAAAAAAAATTCAAGGATGGTCTCAGTGGCTCACACCTATAATCTCAGCACTTTAGGAGCCTGAGGAGGGAAGATTGCCTGAGCCCAAGAGTTTGAAGCCAGCCTGAACAGCACAGGGAGACCCTGTCTCTACGAAATATGTTTTAAAAATTAGTCAGACATGGTGGGGCCTGCCTATGGTCCCAGCTACTCAGGAGGC